TTTCTTTCTTTCTTTCTTTCTTTCTTTCTTTCTTTCTTTCTTTCTTTCTTTCTTTCTTTCTTTCTTTCTTTCTTTCTTTCTTTCTTTCTTTCTTTCTTCCTTCCTTCCTTCCTTCCTTCCTTCCTTCCTTCCTTCCTCTAACCCCCTTCTCTTCCCCCTTCTACCCTTCCCCCATCTCCTCCATTTCCACCCCATCCCTTTTCGCTTCCCCTCTCTTCCTATCTGCCCTGCCCATCCTCGCCCCCCCCTTCCTCTCATCTCCTTCCTCCCCCTCCCTCCTCGCTGCCACCGACCGTATGGAGCAAAGCACAATGGAGCAGGGCCAATTCACTGCCTGCAAGAGCCCAGCGGTCAGCCCGCTCTCTAGGGAGGTGGGGGTGGGGGTGCCGGGTGTCTCCAGGGGGGATCCGGGCAGGCTTTCCGCGCTAGATGTAGGGCAGCGCCCACTGAACACGCTGGGGAGGCAGGTAAGGGCTGGGTGTGTGTCTGGGGGTGCAGGAGCGAGGCCAGCGACACGGGCGGCTGGGGCCCGGCTGGCAGAGGGCAGCCCTGCAGAATCCAACCCCACGTCTCCGGCTGGTTGGTCTGGGGCTGTGATTCCCCCTCCCCCATCCCCAATAGCTAGACCACAGCCCGGCTGGCATGCGGCGTGTCTCCAGCAAGCAGCGAGCGAGCGGGGAGCCGGGGCTCCATCTGCAATGCAGAGCAGCAGAAAGGCTCCGAGAGGGACCCGGACACCCCTCCTGAACCCGTTGCCTTTAACACACAGTGCCAGGAATTGCTGCCCAGATGAATCACGGGGAGCAGAGAGGAGAGGGGGTGAAAGAAATCACAGCCCCCTCCCAGCAAAGATCTGACACCTGAAGGTCAACAATGCCCTGGGAAATAAAGCACAGGGTTGGGGGATAGATAGGAAAATGGGGGAGGGGTCTGCTGTGTGCTACCCGAAAGCACCAGCAGTGGCTTCCGATTATTAGGGATAAATAATAATAATAAAAAAAGCAGAAACGTGAAATTCTACAGAAGAAAGTTGATTGCATTTTAGCATGTAACAATTGCAGGGATAGGACATCCCCATTGTAATTGGTGCAGGTAAACAAGACTTTTTGAAAATTCCCTTGAATCTAAAGTCTTTTATTGCTCATTTCCTGGCTCTTGGCTTCTTTCTTTCTTTCTTTCTTTCTTTCTTTCTTTCTTTCTTTCTTTCTTTCTTTCTTTCTTTCTTTCTTTCTTTCTTTCTTTCTTTCTTTCTTTCTTTCTTTCTTTCTTTCTTTCTTTCTTTCTTTCTTTCTTTCTTTCTTTCTTTCTTTCTTTCTTTCTTTCTTTCTTTCTTTCTTTCTTTCTTTCTTTCTTTCTTTCTTTCTTTCTTTCTTTCTTTCTTTCTTTCTTTCTTTCTTTCTTTCTTTCTTTCTTTCTTTCTTTCTTTCTTTCTTTCTTTCTTTCTTTCTTTCTTTCTTTCTTTCTTTCTTTCTTTCTTTCTTTCTTTCTTTCTTTCTTTCTTTCTTTCTTTCTTTCTTTCTTTCTTTCTTTCTTTCTTTCTTTCTTTCTTTCTTTCTTTCTTTCTTTCTTTCTTTCTTTCTTTCTTTCTTTCTTTCTTTCTTTCTTTCTTTCTTTCTTTCTTTCTTTCTTTCTTTCTTTCTTTCTTTCTTTCTTTCTTTCTTTCTTTCTTTCTTTCTTTCTTTCTTTCTTTCTTTCTTTCTTTCTTTCTTTCTTTCTTTCTTTCTTTCTTTCTTTCTTTCTTTCTACCTATCTACCTATCTACCTATCTACCTATCTATGCCAGGTTGTATTTTCTCTTTGAAGACTTGTGAACACTTATGCTTTGGTGGCACAGTGTAATTTTTGATGAGTACATGGTGGTGACTTTGCATTCTTGGATGTAGCATGGGTACACAGGCAATTAAACAGTTAATTACAGCTCTAAATCATTGCTGATGCAGAATAAAAAGAACCTATGATTCCTGCATTCCTTCCTTATGATAGGCCTGTTTCTAGTCAGAAAGCTATGTTCACTGATAATCTTATTTTTAGCCCTGTGTAGGAAATAATATTTAAAATGCTGCAGCAGTTCTTCACTGTGTACAGCTAAAAAAAGTCTGAGGGACAGGGTTAAACTTTCAAACCACATGGAACACTGTACCACAGTTTGCTCATTAATATGATGCTGTCATAGGACTGCAGTACTGCAGTCATTGGAGAAAGGAAGTCAGAATTATCCAAGGTATCTGCTGAATTGCATTTGTAAATAGAATTGTTAGAGCCACAGTTTAACCTATTTGGAGTTGTATTGGACTGGTGTAGGAAGAAGGTTTTAGTGAAATTGAAGCAATCAAGGATTCTAAACACATTCTATTAATTTTGCTAATAGGTTTTTTTTCCAGAAAGGGGGGAAAGAACACAGCAGGAAGTCAAGAACATACTATTAACAAAGATATTGTATTTTATTAACTTTCAGGATAAAATATGTTATGATCTGGGTTATTGCTATTTCCCCCTTTGATTAAAGACTGTGGAAAAAACAGAACATGTTCATCTTGTATCATTCCCAGGGAGAACTTACTGTAAAAGAAAACATATGTTTAACACAGTTTCCTGAGACTTGTATTATTCTTTTAATGTTCTGAAAACAAGTTAGTTGTGCTTAAAGACAATTCAAAGAAGAGCTATATTTGCTGTTGCAATAAAATCCCTTTGCATTAAATATGTTAATGCATACATTATTCATAATCCAATTGTTTCATATGCAAAACACATTGCTACTGTATAATCAAGTGCTAATATAGTTTGACTTACTAATTGAATACTTAACTCAGGCAACATAAAGTATAAAATACAGTAATTATCACAGTATATATTGATTACCTTTTAAAAACAGAATATTTATGACAAAAAAAGATGTACACACAAAAACTTTTACATGTCTTTATGAAATCACTTTACAGAAAGAGGTTTTTTTTTTAAAAAAAAAATCTTTATTCTGGTAACATTCACTTCAGATCCATAATAATGTTTATGTAGACAAAACCAATGCTACATTTTTATGAAGGTGATACGGAGGTTAGAATGAGTCAGCAAAACCAATCTTTAAAACATTGCATTTTTTAGCAATTAATTCCTTTCAGCCTGGTGTCCATATCTGCTTTAGGCTTCTTTGAGATCAAGATAACTGTTTCTAAATAAGGAGAACTTCTTGTTTCAGAGTTTAACACCCAAGTATTGTCACTTTTGAGCAAAGAGCACCATAATGCCTCACCCTTTGAAGAGGACTGGGGAGAATGCTAGAAAATGCTGCCACTTATACAGTGTAGAAAAGAAAACACATTACTTTTAATCTTGATTGTGCATTCTTGGCAAACCCACTGTTAGGAGGAGAGAGAAAGCATAAGACAAGAAGACTGATTTTTTGCAACTTTCTTGTTTAAAATAAATAAACTCAAGGTATAGAATGTACAACCTTCTGAATGGTGCCCTAAAATATTCTAGCAAAATATATCATTGTAATAAAAAAACCCTTAAGAGTCTTTAAAAATGCTGGAATATGACAGGGGGGAAGATTTTATTAGATTATAGAGAGGTATTGCAGTGTATTGGATAAGACAGGTAATGCAATACTTTTGAGGGGGCTATATATAAACTAATACCCCAGTTTAGAGTCCTTTCCCCAGGAAATAAGTAATTTTTAATATAAACACATTTTATATAAATTGGGTCAGCATTGATAACATGCATGGAAGATGGAATACATTGGCTTCGGAGTCGGGGTGGGGGTGGGGGGGAGGTTGTCTTAGTAAAATCTGAACAAAGACTTCAGGATTTGGCCTTTAATGTTAGTCTTAAAACAAGGGGTCATATTCATCACTATGGAAGTCAGCAGAGCTATACCAGTTTATACCAGCTGCTGATCTGGCTCCATTGTAATTAATGTTGGGGGGGAATATGGTCTCCAGCAAATATTTTGACATTTCTCCTTTTGTCTAATTTATAATGGTCAAGGTCATCTGTTGATCCTGCAGGATGTGGGATGCTTCCTGAAAGATACTTAGGCCCCCCAGCTCTTGCTGATGTCAAGGGGGTGCTCATCATTTCAAAGGAATTGCTTGGTGCTTGAAGTACCTGGCCACCAAATGAATAAGAAATCCAATTATGCAGCCTCACATGAAGCTGCTATTAGAAGCTGTCTGCCAGCAAATAGTCTCTTTTGCCCTATCATTGTCTGCTTGGGCTCTCACAACCCCAACGATTGGGCTCTGCTTTTGGATTTATGACAGATTATCATG